GCATCATTCATAATTACAAAAAAAAAAAAAAAAAAATAAGAAATGCAATAAGGGTTCCCTGGGGGGCCACCTCCATTTAACACAACCCAATCACAAAAAGTACATTTATATTTGACTATCTTGCATTTACTTATGACGAAATCAATAATCCATAGCAAAGCAAATTCAATTATTTCAAGATCAAGTAATTTGAAAGGAGCCACAATGGTGTGTACAAGATCGAATGCTTTGCTGAAGTAAGTAAGAACCCAAAGTGCAGATGTAGGCTGCAATGTCAGAATTGGGAGCAAGAAAGTGATATATACCGATAAGGGTGTGAAGCTGGGTTAATGGAGTCAACGACAGTTTTAGTGACGTTACAGTAATTTCTGAGTCTATTCATATTATTGACTATTCATATACTGTTGGTAAGTCCATAACTAAAAGATATATACCTATGCCAGAATTCAAGAATAACGCTTTTGGACGCTGGATGTTTTATTGTATATACCGTAGCTTATAACGTTGCCCCTTGTGGGCTTGAAAGAATAGTAGGGACTGAAAAATTTTAAATCGATTAGATATACCAATGTGAAGTCATGTTTATATTTGCCTTGTAAACTAATATGACCCAATATATTTGGTTACAGTTATAATTATTCATGAATAGATGATGTAAACTGTGTTCATGATATTTACCATTCGTTACTTGGTTGTAGTATCTCGCAGTGACTGGTCCAAAATACTACAAAGATGGTTCACCAACATGTCAGATTTGCATTGGTTGGAAGCTTTTTGTTGCTAATTTCATATCAAGGTAAAAATATTACATATGGCATAGGTTTTTTGCTTGTTGGCAGGTTTAAGCTGATTACTGACGGGCAAGTGGTTTTTTTTTTAATCTGACTGCCAGGTGAACACTGCATTATTATATGCTATAGTTGTTATAGTATTCTTACCCTGCTGACAGTAGTATCGTATTGGTAGTGATATTTGAAATAACAGTAATGTAGTTGTAGGCCTAGTAGTACTATAGTATTAGTTGAATTATTTTCAATAATAATAATAGTATTACTATTAGAAGTAGTTGTGTTATTCTTATCATTTTTGTATTATCATTATTAGTATTAGTAGGCTTGTAGTTAGTACTGTACTTAGAAGATCACCGTAGTTGCAGTGGTAGTATAATCTAATTTTATTACAATAAACACTACTGAATTGATACTTATCTTACTTGATATTCATTTTCATTTTTTTCTCCTCAAATATCGTCAATCAAAGCACAATCTAACAAAACCGTCGACGAAAGACTTTACGAGAAGTTGTTCACAAATTACAACAACAGGCTTCGGCCGGTGCGCGTTGCTTCAGGCCCCACTACGGTAAACCTGACGATGCGCTTTCGATATTTAATAGATGTTGTAAGTAAGACTTTGTTACAGTTGTTAACGTCATATAGGCTACTGT